AGTATAAATGGACTGATTTAGCTTTAGTAATCATCTGTTCCTTTTCATATTAGCGTTAATACAATATGACAAAGTGTTAAAAGAGAGCTCGTATACAGCTGTTACGTCGTCTTTTAAAATGGCTTGGATCTTTCCACGTTAATGAACGATAGGCAGGTATAACAACCAATACTGGTTAGTCGCTCTTCCCCATTGCTTCTCTACGACAACGCGCGAGCTCAAACATCACAGCTGATTTCTGCTTTTTTCAAATATAGACATTTTTTTAACACCCTTCCCTTCTACCGTAAACGGTACCGTTCTACCGTACCTTCTACAAACCGTCAAAATAGAAAAATTGTATGCATAATTTGGGCCAGTTGACTAGCTGAATCAAATAATACCAAGACTTTTATATTAAAAAATTTTCATACAAATCTCCAATTTGATAGGTAAATACCTAATACATGTGACACAACATTCTTTAAATAACTCAGGCAAGGTGTTCGAATTTATAAAATTCAAAGTTAATTAACGACTCTGAGTGTGATTGTTAGTACGTTGTTAAATAAGTCTCATTGGCATTGACGACTCATTGGTCTAGTGGTTAGTACCCCTGACTGCGAATCCAAGGGTCCCGGGTTCGATCCCCGGCTGAGACAAACATCGATGTGATGAGCATTTGGTGTTGTGCTTAGGTCTTGGGTGTTTAAATATGTATTTATATGTCTATCTATCTATAATATGTATGTATTTCCGTTTCCTAGTACCCATAACACAAGCTTCACCAGCTTAGCATGGGACTAGGTCAATTGGTGTGAATTGTCCAATAAAAAAATAAAAAAAAGTATTTAATAATGTCGTAGTGTAGTAAAATCGTTTTGATGATCAGGTCAAATAAAACATAATTATTATTCATTCTAATTTATTTGATTAATCATCTGCTCTATACACATGATATGCACCAATGCCTATAAATTATACAAACGATAATTAAAATAAATATTCATATTCATATAAAACTGTGTTTGAGCTTAATTAAAATAGAAACATGATGAACAATTCGTAAATAGAATCGCGTATTATATATTTCCCCTATATTATCTATTGCCGTTTATATATAAATCAATTTAAAAATTCAACTGTATAAGTACCGTGTAAATACAATTTATCTAATAAAAATCATGTGAATTTTATAAAATTGTCGACTTGTAGTCATTTGGCGCTCAAGTCAAAAAATAATGTTTTATAAATATAATTTACGTATCTCGTACCCCATAATAGAGCATTATTGTTTCACCAGAAATCGAGCCCGAAGGTGGTTATTCGCCATGTAAATATTTAATCATGGAGACGGACAGAACAAAAGATAAGTTATTTTAAATTTAATAACATTTCAAAAGTTCACAGGATTTTTCTTAGACTAGAATTTGGTAAATATTCCGTATCGCGGCACCAGCGATTTTGAGGCTGATTTTTTTTTATGACTTCGTCTTGAGTTGTTATAATGGCGCATGACCTTTTTTGCCAAAAAAAATTAATAATTACCCAAAACCGAATCACCACCCCACTATCCACGTGGTCTTGTCTGCCTTACCCCTAGAGTGTATATAAAAATCGGAGGTGTGGAGGAAGAACAGCCCCACCCGCTGTAACAAAGCACAGGTGTTATGCTGAATAAAATACCTGTGCTTTGATACGCAAGGGCGGAGGGGCTGCATTTCCCGCAGCGCCGGAGCTGTCCAAAAACCTATTATAAATATTGTTCGGTTAGGTTAGGTTAGTATATTAATATTTTTTTTTAAATAAATTGAATTTTTTTATCATAACTATACTAGTTTTACAGATCATAACGCGACTGTAAAAAAAAATCAGCCTCAAAATCGCTGGTGCCGCGATACAGAATATTTACCTAGAATTTAATATATACTTTTCAACGTTAAACAATGTAACAGATTATTATTGAAAATCTGTGTAATTGGGCAACTTATACTATAATTTACTTACAAAGCTGTTTAGACGATTAACATTAAATTATTGCTGTAGATATTAAACTATTATTTATTAAAACCAATAATGTTAAGAAAGCGATTCGAACAAGATTGCACATTAGACATATGTGTCGTTTTACGTAAAAATTTACAAATTAACAATTAATAAACTTTTATTTTCTATTATTATATTTAATTCTGGTAACATTAGGCCGAAGAACATAGTATAAGAAGCTAAGCGTAAATAATTTTCTATCTAAGCGGTCTGGAAGCACATGCTTGATAAAACCTGAGGCGATGGAGTTCATATAAATAACGAGACGTTGATTTCATTAATACGTATGCAGTGATAAGTTTTTTTTCCTTTATGGCTCTGGCACGGTTTGTGCATTAGCCAGCGTCAAGAATAAGATTTTTATAATTCGTGCTTGCCTTAGAAATTCGACCGTGTCCTCCATGTACGGTTAAGCACTCGCCCGGTACCGCACAGCCCTCCCAAAGGCCGAGAACAAATTTAAATTAAATTAAAACTTGCCCTCGAACTGGGAATCGAACCCGGTACTCCTCACCTAGCTGCCACTTAATAAGACCGCTAGGCTATGAGGCCCCACAGTGATAAGTTGTATACTTATAAGTTTTATAAGTTGGTGAATTAATTCCTGTACAATATGTTTTTTGCTGGAGCCTATTATATTTTGTAAACTTGTTTTTCGGTATCGTTCATATCAGTTCAAATCAGCCCCGCAACACCTCAGGTTTTAGAATATTAACGAAAAACTAACGCTGTACATCTAAAAGGAACTAACTGACGGTGAATACTATCGAATGAGCGATAGGTTCAAATTTAACAGTTAATATTCGTATATTTCACAATTATTAAATTTACAGCTTACTATATTATTAAAATGAGGTGCGGATTAAAAAATTACAAACACGCGGAAAATACGTTGATAGGTAAATAGGATTTTTTGAATATTTTTTTACAAATTAGACTCTGTAGGTATATGTGAGAAAAGAGTGTTATCGAAACGTTAAGAGCCGGAGCTGTGTAACTCTCAGAAATATTTAAAAAATAGAATTAAGCTCCCGTTCCGGCCCTACATGATACAAAATTTTGCTGGTAGACAAAATCTATAAATCACCCTGTCACCAGAAAATGTGCGCTTAAATACCTTCTTACAAATAAATACTATAACCCCTATTCTTAAAAAGCTTATATAAGCATATTCATTTCTGGTTAAAATATCAACCAATCTATAATGGTATTGAAAATGTTTTGAGTTTCAGAGTGGGGTTCACTTCGTGTCAAGAAAAATTCTAACTTTTATTTAACCAAATTATGAGGCGCCACGGAATCGAATTACTCTTGATTTTCCAACGTTGTGTTTAAATATAATAGGTAATGTCGCAAATATTGTTGATATTGAGCTTTCGTGTCCACATATTGCGCAGGCGTTTCATAGAATTCATTTATAAGAAGGGTTAAATTATGACAATGAAATAAAATGACTAATGGGGTACTTTAACATCGGTTATAAGCCACCGGTTAAACTCTAAATAAAGCTCATATTTTTCCTTAACGTCTATATGGGTGGCTACTTTAATGACTGAATATTTTTATAACGAAATTAAATAAATATCGGATAATCTAGTCAAAATATACATGACTGAAGACTTGAAATACTAAACCTCTGAATGGTTTGTTTAATATTTTAAGTGATTATTGAAATAATGTCTTATTATTTTTACGATAACGATGTATATCTATATATATTTATTATATATATTTATATATATCTTTTTCACATATGCTGACTCATTAAACATATTAAATTTATTTATCACAATGTGTGAAGGACAAAGTATTTCATTTGAGAATTATATTATTATAAACCTCCGATTAAATATTTTTAATGGTCTTATGACCATTATGGTCTCCAGTAAACAATGAAGACTAGCAAATGCCATAGTTATAGATCACTCAGAAGTACCGATGACAATTTGTTATAAAAAAATATTATAAATTATGTTATAGACTGTATATTTTGACTAGAGTAATTTTACATTAAAACTATTAATTAGAACCGTATTTTTGACTCCTGAATCATAAATACATTAAATAGCTTAAAACAATCAGTGCGAACAACTTTAAATAATGCACGACTTGAAATAAGCGAAACTACGCGAAATAATTTAATTAATTGACAATTCTTAGATTTAAACAATACAAAATAACTATACATTTTCTCAGATTAATTGACGAAACTAATCAAAAACATTTTCATCTATCGCTCAAATCGCGAAATTTTATTCTAATAAAACCTGCAGATACAATTGATCACTACGAAAGGTGCAAATACTTCTAAAATATATTTATAAACACTATGTGTGCCATACAACGCACATTAACGCATAATTTATCGTATCTTATAACACACACATCCTTACCTATAAACATAAACTGTTAAACAGTACATCAATTTTCGTTTAGCTATTTATAAATATTTTGGTGTTTTTTCCGTCGTTTAAGCGCCAAGATATAGAAAGTAAATTAAGGCGTATTTAAATTAATTATGGAAGATGATTTGAGAATCTCAGCGCTTAAACATACGATTGGTTTAAATTAAAGTCAACGCTCATACGCATAACACTTTATACATCAGTTAACAATCATTATTGTCAGTTATAAATCTATTTTAATGAATTTTATATTTAAATATAAATTCGCATCTAGTAGTAGGCAGTTTTAACATAATGTTTATATTTCAATATTTAGGTGCGTTCGTAGATCTCAACCTTATCTCTAGTATGCATAAGACGGATGGATCTAGCACATTCAGTAAACACTACATTAGGTTACACAGTCCTACCGTTCATCACTCGTCGCACGGTAGTGTTCGCGGTATCACAATTCACGTAGGCATCTGCAAATGGGGTGTTGTGCAAATAAAAGTCAATTTCGCTGAACAGTTTATGTAATTTGGAATTAAGCACACTGAGGCCGCGATCGGCCATAGTCTATATATTTGGTTAGGAGCGTAGTTGCGAGGGACTTAGTACAAGCTCGCCATCGGGTCCGCCCGCGAACGACACATTGCGTGGGGGCGGACGTTTGCCTGCGTTTGCGCTTGACAACGCAGACGCTGCTGTGCGTGGAGGGTTTGCCTGAAAAGCGAGTGTCTTTAGTCTTACCAAGAATCAGTAAATGCCCTTTTTGTATCTAAATCCATTATGGTCTAAGATCCCGATATACAACGACCTTCACCGAGATGCTTATTTAATGAAACGTATTTTATATTTAATTTAATATGTCAATAAATATAATGCATATGGGTTGCCTAGCAAATTTCAGTCCTGAGTATTTTACTTCAAAGGAAATCCTATACTTTTCACAGATTTGATTTAGGAAAATTATAGGTAAGTTAAACTAATGAAAACTACTCCCGACTGTAGAAACAAATTATACTAATTATATAGTACCTAATTATTAATTTTTATTATTACTCCTCTTTCCCGAAGGGGAGGGTAGAGACCATGGATCTCCCTATGGTCCCAACATACCTCTTTAGCTTCATCCACTTTCATGATATTCACCATCGGTTATGGCTACTTTTAACTTGTCCATGTAGTACCTCCTGGATTTGGTCCAGGTATGTACGACAAGACCTACCAAACCCGATATCACCATCCACTATTGCTTGTGTTTACAATCTTAATCATAATTATTATGTAGATACAATTACCTGTTGAACTATGACAGTCTGCGGCTGCGGCTGTGGTTGCGGCTGATTCGAGGTGCGATATCGACGCAGCCGTTCGTCCTCTTCGCCGCTGGAGAGGCTCGACACGTCGCACGAGGAGTCGAGGCGCCTCGCGGGGGAACACTGCGCGGGCCCCGCTCGGGTGCTGGGACATCCGCCAGCTAAAGGCATCTCTTCTCCCTCTGCACCACCTGACAGTCTGGAATTCAAGATTATTAGGATTTACACAAGTTCCACAAAGTGGTTGTGCACTGACCTGTAATTGCATTCAATAGCAGCCGTCTGCTGAACTCGTGTCAAATATAAAGTTAAAAAAATTTGATGAAAATAACTAGGTATATTATCAGTAATTTTTTAGAGAATTAATGTTTAAACCCACTTATTGATAATATAATACTCTCAGAAAATATAAATATGTTCGTTACTTATACGACCATTATAATATATTAACACCCGAGATTATGCAGGCTGCAGGAACGCGAACGAAAAATCTGATTATTTCAATTCTGATAACTATTCATGTTTTTTGTTAAAATGCATCGCATGCTTAATGCTTAAATTATTAACCAAAAGTCAAATATTCTAAACAAAACAAGAATTCGCACTAATATTAAGAAATATTACCTTCTGTTCTCCTTGTGATTGTTCCGTCGCGGACAGCAAGGCTTGGCGAACATACAGAACATGATACGCAGTAAGCAGCAGGCCAGTCCTGCTACGATGAGACACGGACCAACCAGCCGCAAGGCTGGCGTCTTGAAACCCTGGGAAGGCTGCTTTTTCATCATATAGGAAACTTATTCATTGGTTAATCGAGGTATCAACTTTTTAAATGTTTTATATTAAAATGTATGGTATCTGAAAATACAGGATAACAGCCACGCCTGCCTAATGCTTTTTCCGGAGAACGCCATATTTTATTTGGAAGGAATAAACTCAACTAATCAAGCGGTGCAATAAGAATCGATGAACTTTATAGTTCATATCGGTTTATATCCAAAATACAGTGTAAACCCTTTATAACGAATTTCAAGAGACATTGGATTTTAATTCGTTATACGCAGGGAAAAATTAATGTATGGGGTATTGGGTTAAACCACATAAATTTAACTATTTTTTACGTTATAGAGATTTTTCGTTATAACGGATGAGAGAATATAAAGAGTATAGAGTGTATAAAGAGTACACTGTATATTAGACTCTTATGTTGCTCGAATGGGGTAACTGTTAATACAATCACACTCGTGAGACATTTAAAATTTTGTCTGTCTGTATGGTTTTAAATATATATAAAATATGTATAATATATATCTCCGCAATATCAGAGAATAGACGGGAGTGGCCAGGGTAGAATAGCTGATGCACTTGACGAAGAATAAGAAAAAGTATGACGAGCTGACCGCCAACCTCCAATAGTGGAGAGGCACTACAAGAAGAAGAAGAAGCTGGTTTTACTAAGCAGATGAGCCAGTTAATATAAAAACTAACCTCGCTCTCGAGCTGTCGAGCAAACTCAAATGTCAACTACATAGGCTATGTTACTGTAAGGCTACATAAAATTCCGTTCTATTATGAGCTAATGACCTGATGATGATATATTATACTGGGAAAAAGAGAAATGGGTTCATCATTAGTACAAGCTAACCTTGTCGCCTGTCCCAACGAAATACACAACCAGGCCCACTGCAAGTGTCGCAAGTCCAGCGTACAGTAGCCGGGCGACGCCCCATGGCTCGCCATTTGCTTCGTCGCCGTCCGATTCCGAAGAAGACCCGTATGACGCATCGCGCACCTTTAATTTTAAATTACTTTATAACACAAGCATCACAGGGCTTAATCACATTACAAATAAAAGTATGGTACATACTTACGTCAATTCTAATCCAACGAGATCCTAGAGAATATTACGTAACCATACATACCAACGTACTACATCAAAAATACCATGCACCATTGTCTAGTAGTCTCCTAGAACCCTACAAAATCACAGACAACAGTAAAAACTTTTAAACAACTATGCGTCCATATGGCATTTTATTCGTACGGTTAACAGATCCCACAGATAACACTAAGTACTTACCAATCTATCACAACCATGCGTAACACGTAACACTGGGAGTAGGTTTTAATTCTAGTTTACCTCAAACCATGCTGCTAGCTACGTCGCTCGGCTACTTGGTGATCGGAAAAGATAACTTTCATTGGGTACCCGGTTGTTCCTGTGCCACTTGGCGCGGGGGTCTCGCCGGGCCCCCGGGTGGTCCCCGAGCACCGAGCAACGTCGGGCTGCGCCCCCAGCGGCCCCTGCGCCGCCGCCCACGGAGAGAGCCGCGGCCTCTTGCCACGCCGCGCGCCCAGCGGCGCACTGAAACATACAAATTTCTAGTTATTTTTTGGACTTGGTGATTCCCGTTTTTAAACTATCTAATTAGTTTAAATTCAGGAAATTTATATATTCTTTCAACCATAAAGGTTTTCAGAGATTTCTGTTTCGTCGCGTCATATTAAAGTTATAAATAAAAACTTGAGTGGCGAGGGAGCGCGAGCTGTATGTATATAAAATCTTAACATTTTATAATGTAAGAGATTGTTATTATTTCATTGTTATATATTGTTAGTGTTTATATTTTTAATATTTATTTCATTGTTAATAATGTAATTGTATACTATAATCGCGCAGTCCGATTTCTGTCTTACAAATCTCTCAAATGTATTTGTCAATTACACGAGTGATGGCTTAATTGTATCAAAAATTAATTGCGACACAATTTTTCCCTTCAATAATATTTATATTACCCAAACAGGTGCAATTTGTTGGTACTAAATCATAGTTTACAGTTGTTTTTATTAAAACAAGTCACGTTTTCGATATCGAGAAAGTGCTCAAATATAGGCACAAAGCGGGGTACATAATAAGTTGTATCGTTCCTTTATTAGGGGTTTGGCAGTATTTCATGAAAGAACGATCATGTAATAAAAGCGGTCTGTTTACTGTCGTGTGAGAGATTGGGTAAATGTGTTCGAATGTGTATAGCTATCCCGAGAGCTTTAAATTCAGTCGACCAGATATCTAAATACATAAGTTAAAAAAACCCTAACCAAGAACTGTAACCTCAAGAGAGACAATTAATGCTACAGCGAGGAAATAATATTAATTGTATATTGCTTTGTATAATTGTGACTTCTATTTAACGTCAGATAAAGATTGACCAACGTAGCTCAAAACTTTGAAATGATTAAAAATAACTGAATTACACGATTTAAATGAAAAATAAACTATGAATTGCATTTGGTTAATATCAAAGTTTGAATAGCGATTTGAAATATTCAATTTTAAACGCTTGCGAAATGTCAAGAGTATTCAAAGTGTAACATTTAAAATATGATTGATTATAGTTATTACAGCACATTCATAATGATTATGTATGATTTATTGTAAAACCTTCATTTACATTCCTTGAACGGTGTGCCGCACGCCAACCATATATTTTTTCGGAATAGTAATAATTATGTTTCTATGTACAGACAAATTCATATTCTGTTTTTATTTTTTTCTTTTGGTGAAATAAAGATCATGTAGAACTGGGACATACATCCGAATGTGATTTCATGTCACTCAACCGGATCTGTGACCGGAGAAGGTTGAGGTGAGAAGCTGCTACTCTGTGGTACTAGGAAACATAAAAGCCATTTCCACATCGGATATAATAAAATGCTACGCTGATATTCCGGTCATACAGTCGTTGTTTAATATACTTACTGTTTGTTATGGGCGTAAACATGCTGGTCCTGCTCCATAGGACAATCATAGAGTCTTGTCAAAATCAAATTGGTTGCTAATTTGAATACTTTTGTAATTTTTATTTTATAATACTACTGCTGTAATTTATTTTTATCTCACAGACTGTTTTATTGTTTTTTTTATTATTACTATTTATTGTATTTCTACGGTTTCAATATTGTTATATGTGAGGAACGTGTATACTAACAATACAATAAGTGCATCCGCTGCATTGCTTAATTTGTAAAACTTTGTGCCTATTTTAGTATAGTAGTTTTATTGTAAGAGTACATTGTCTTCACATATAATTATTTAACTAATGTATACAAAATATTGTAAACCTATTTTAAAAGAGTAAGTGTGGAGTTTCTTGCCAATTCTTCTCCACACGAAACTACGTTTTGGAAGGGGCAACTAGAATCATCTTTATATTTTATTTAAGGTTCAAAAATTTTAGGTGGTCTAATTGGAATAAATGATTTGACTATTGAATATTGAAAATAAAGGTAAGGTTAAGTGAATAAAATTACATATATTTGTTCTGTTAAAATAACTCATTAATTAGTTACACTAATTACTGTTTAATACGGTACTAGGGACTTCTACTTACGGACTAAAACTCCCAGAAGATTACATATCTTATACAATTTTGGCATACGGACTTAGGACTTACGACAGCACTTGACAGCTTCAAATCATTTGACTCATGACGAATTTACCTTGGTAAAGGTGCGCTTACACGAGGGCAATAATTGCTCGGCGACACGAATGGACCGATCTGGAGCAATTAATGGAGCAATTTCAATAAATTTAATAAATTTCAATAAATTATTTCGGCGATATTGCTCCAGATATTTCATATCGCTCAATGTCGCAGATACGAATTGACGAATATCCAATGGACTTGGAAATTCCTAGCAATTTTTGTATATATCTCATTCGCACTTGTTTGTTTTGCGGCTTGCCGTCTTGCTTCCGCGGGGAGAGCGAGAGGTCTAAATAATAATAATTTCTAATTACTTTATTCAAAAGTAATTCAAAGTCTGTTCGTGACGTTCTAGTAAAGTTTTTGAATAATATATCATCTAATTCTTTACACAATGAAAATTGCGGCCAAAAACGATCACACCCAGATACGCCTATTCCTCTTCTTTCTTTTGTTTTTGATTAATAATGAAAAAAGCGCTACAAGCCGCCGCAACAAGAACAATGTCGTCTATTGCAAGCGAATACTGAATTGCTCGTGTAGGACAGTACTGCCTAGTTGATGAAGTTGCGCCATATCGCTCAAGATTGTATTGCGCAGTATTGATGCTTGTTGTCGTTGCCGTAAATTGCTTGATGTAGTCGTGACGTCATAGTTGACGAGTATTGCCTGGAATTGAGCAATTTTAGTTGCCCGTGTAAGCGCACCTTAAGCGCACCTTTAGATACAAAATAGTGTCTCCTTCAAAGTAAATGGAAACTCAACATCAATAGCAGCCAGGAATTGCTACAAAGGTAACTAGACCTAAGCCGTACCAGTTTGCAAATACTGATTGTACGTTTAGATAATGCAAAGTACACATTGCCATGAAGTGAAAATACAAAGGACTTGGGTTAATAATGTTGCAAGCTCAATAATTATTGCTAAAGTAACAAAAAAAAACGTATGTATTATAACAGCCCTGACACTTGACAATTATTACATTAAAAACTAATTAAAATAAAATAATATAGAAAGGAGTTCCTAGTTTTAGATTATAAGTGCTTTTAATCTCTGTTTAGTAATATTAATATAAATTACTGAATGTATAGTTATTTAAATGACATTGTTAACTTCACTTAGTGTAAAGAAATGCATCGAAATAGATTTTCCGTCCTAGGTGTAGGTTTTCTAGCGCTTAAAATACTTTCTGAGTTAGAATAAGAATAAAAGATTTTTGCTCAACGAAGTCCGCTTCTAAACTTTAAAAAAAGCGTAACACATAAAAAGCTATTTATATAACTGCAGAAGTATTTAATTAATTTACTTTTATTAAATTGTTATGATTTTGGTTCATAATTTTATTCGTTCATAATTTTTTTATCATTTTGTAGAAAAGTAAAATACACTGTTCTTGTATTTTTAATATTTGCATTTGTTTATTGCAAGTTTTAGAATCGTCTCAAGCGGTCTCGACCAAAGCTGCTGTCCCAACTTTAGAATGCAAACCACAAAAGCACTCTCGAAGTCTTATTAATATCGGTACAGTTTTAAATTTTGAAATTCTACACTAACATACATACAAGATTACCATTTGCATTGCGCTTGTAAACAATTGATTATTTGACAGATGATTCATTAATATAGAATTAGGATTGAAACTTCCTTCTACTAGAAATAATGGAAGTCGCGTATTTTATATGGATATATTTACTATCTTGAGGTTGGATTTTTTAATGGAAATCCGTTAAGAAATTACGTCCAACATTTATTTTATTTATTACTATGAAAAGAAAAACATGAAAAGGAAACTAGGACATTCTTTGAGGCTCTTAATATTTTGATTTTTGAGCCGAGTTCATTTTAATTATGTGCAGCTTACGTTTCTTACTATATAATTAAGAAATGCATTAAATAAATAATACAAAAAGCTACATTATACAGTTTGTTGCCATTACATTGCGTTTATCGTAATATAAGTAGCAATCGCAAAACCATGCATCGTTGAATATGTTTTGAATTACAGCTGGTTGTTTTATTTTAAATTTCATTTGAAATTAATTATGTACAATGTACATACAACTTGATATAATTATAAACATAATGTACCGCAATACCCTTATTTATAAATGTTCAATACGCCTGAAATTACTGTTGTTTTGGCAGTGTCGTGCTGTTTGGAAAATAAATGAGGGTGAGAATTTTTAAACTATTAATAATAATGAATGTGATTCGGTATTGATATTGATATATCCGAGGTACATTAGTAAACCAAGAAGTAGTATTATAGTAAAACAAAAAATACTTCTAAGACAAATTATAATCCAGTAGCGCTAAAACCCTAATTTAGTCTTGGCTTCAGATCCCTTTCTCGATCATTTTTATTTTATAACAAGTAAGAGATCAGCCGTGTCTGACACATGTCATTATTATTTCTATAAGCAAAAAATTCTTATAGATAGGTATGTATTCAGCAAGTAAAATAACATATTAAATTGTATTACAACGAATAAGCCGTGTATTGCATTTAATATTTCTCACAAAACTTCATGAAAACTCTCAAGGAACTCCGAAAGAAACTTCTAGAGTATAAATATTTCGCAATTAAAATTTTCCAAGTTCCCTTAGCTTTCAAGTTTCAACTGTAAGTGGTGCTTACCTAAGCTACGTATAGACTTTTAAAAGTGCTATATTACTTTCATCTACAACTTAAAAATTACCTAGGTTTGTATTTTAGACCTAAATAATTCCTAATTTTAATGTATCATGAATTTCAAGGATTCAGACTCGAGACTTAGAGCGAACTTTCGTACGTCAAAGTTAAAACGTTTCTGACATACGCAAGTGACAGCGCTAAGTTTTCTGAACCTTGCTCTTAACGTAAAGTATGTCAAAAAAC